GGCGGAGGCGCTGCGGCTGCTGCTGCTGCTGCAGCAGCAGCAGCAGAAATCCCCAACATTTCGAGAAACTCCGACTCTTTTATTATTCTAATGTGGCCCCCCTTTTGCTGCTGCTCTGCTGCTTTCCTAAACTTCGCCCCCATCTCCACGGGCCTCCCGTCTTCTAAGACAGAGCCCACCACCAGCAAGTCCGTGCGCCCAGAGACCTGCGCCCCAAACCCTAAACCCTAAACCCTAAACCCTAAACCCTAAACCCTAAACCCTAGAAACTGAGTCTTGAAGGCCATGTAAAGCCTGCACGGCACAGCGCTCTTACGTGCAGGGCTGAAGTCCACGCGATAAGCCCTAGACACCCGAATGCCAAGGCCTAAACCCTAAACCCTAAACCCTAAACCCTAATTCATAAACCCTAAACCCTAGACCCCGAAACCCAAATCGCAAACCCTAAAGACGCACGAAGCCGCTTCAGCGGCTTCGTACGTAGCATGAATAGAGGCCAGCGCTTCCAATTTAGGAATGAGGGTTTAGGGTTTAGGGTTTAGGGTTTAGGGTTTAGGGTTAGGGTACCGCCGTGGTGACGGAGCCGCCGTTCTCTAGAATTTTTTCTACAGCTTCTTCTCGACTCATTTGCTGCAGCACTCCTGTCAACACAACCTTCTTTCCGCACAGTTTGCTGCTGCTGCTGCTGCTGCTGCTGCTGCTGCTGGGTTTGGTTTTAACTTTTTTGGGGGACTTCTGGGTGGCTGCTGCAGCAGCAGCAGCAGCAGCAGGTTTGCTGCCCTCAGCAGCAAACGGCAGTTTGCGTTTCTTTGTGGAGGAAGTGGGAGAGCCTTCACCGGAGAGCACAAACCCTAAACCCTAAACCCTAAACCCTAAACGCTAAACCCTAAACCCTGATCCCTTAGCTCTAAACCCTAAACCCTAAACCCCTTCTAAACCCTCGGCCGCTTGATGCACCTTCACTTGAGTCACACAGCCTTCTGTAGCTAAACTTTCAGCCCCCTACATTAGATCTAAACCCTAAACCCTAAACCCTAAACCCTAAACCCTACTTTTACCTTCTTGTTTGGCTGAGTGTGGCTCGTTGTCGACACTCATAGCTGCGGGCTCGCTGCCAGCATTTGCTGCTGCTGCTGTTGCTGCTGCTGCTGTTTCTGCTGCTGCTTCCTCTGCCGCCTCCTCCTTTGCCTCGGCGTCAGCAGCAGCAGCAGCAGCAGCAGCAGCAGCAGAAGCA